GATACTGCGGCGTATTGGATCGTGTGTACCAACTGGCCGTGACATTGTCGTAGAATGGCTAGGGACCTGAATTTCAGCATGTAGCGAATCTTACTCAATAGTAGTGCAGCTGCGCTACCTAGCGGCACTATGCAACAATGACAGTCCTGCTGCGGTTACAGTGTTGAAGCCAGTGCCAATAAAGACATTAGTGTTACTATTATGCAACGCCGTGGTCACTGTCTGTCTATACTTCATGTGCATAAGATCTGTCATTGGACAGATAAAGGCAAATATGATAGAGATGCGAAGGTCTCTCATGGGGAGAGAGAGAGAGATGCTCACACACATAGATGGAAAGAGAGAGAGAGGATTTAACGTGGAAGCTTAGTTTGTGTCCTTTTAAAAAAAACAACTACAGTCACAGATCTAGCCTTAGTTTGCTGTATGTCGACAACAATTTGAAGACAAAGTGAACATCTGCACCTTTTTTTTCCTATCAACCCTACAAAGTGAACGCACTAAAAATTATGTGACCTATTTTTGTAAACTCTACATCGGTCAGCATTCTTGGGTTTGTTTACTGACGGCGAAGCGACCGCCGACTGTCTATTTAACTTGCGGCAAATTTAGCTCTAGTCCTGCCAAAGTCCAGCCGCCGATTGTTTCAGGACGATATCTTGGAAAGATTGCCAAATAAGGAAAAACTAGGTCGAGCTGTTTTTATTGCTGGAGACGGTGTGCGGTGCATAATTGGGCCTCTGAAGTTGAACAGATGATATTAAAGATTAGATATTAAAATGATATTGTAACTTATGTATTGTTATCGATAATAGTTTGTAGCTATAATTGTAGGAGCATTGTAGTATTGTTGTTCTAATGCATACATTGTACCATGTATGAGATTGTCGGGCAATAAAGTTCATTCGTTGTGTAGAAAGTGTTACGTAACGAATTGCTTGGCCTGGGAGGATGTGAAACCAAACGCGGGCTCTATCTACCCAGTTTGTCTTCCTGTTTCTATGATATCATTTTCCCTGCGGGTTTGGAAAGACATTAAGTCATTGTTTCCCTTTCTTTATCGCTTATCGTTTTAGAAACACATGTACAGCTCCTTCCCAAAACGGTTTCATTTAATGTTTCGCTTTATTTCTAAATCTTATCCATTTTAGGTCTCACACGAAATTATGGGGCTTTGCTGAATAGAATAGAATAGAATAGAATAGAATAGAATAGAATAGAATAGAATAGAATAGAATAGAATAGAATAGAATAGAATAGAATAGAATAGAATAGAATAGAAATAATCAACACTGTATACATTGTCGATGTCTTTTTACCTCATATTGATAGAGAGATCTTTGAGACAACAAAGTAAACGGACAGCATCCACCCGTGGCCAGAATGTTAACGGATACATACTATAGTGTTTAACAAGGATCAATGTTGACGCCATGTTTCAACGAAGAATTTGTGTAATCTTACACCGTTACGTAACCAGTTGCCAAGCGACGGTTATTCGATATTTTCCTAGTGCGAGATATCATTCACTGTAAAGATTCGTTTGAGACAAGTTCGAACTATTCTTGATTTTCTCTATTGAAACGACTTCTTCGATACGCTTGCTTATGGATATCATTGCCGCATTTTCATCTCTGCATTTTTAAGTAAGTAAAGTAAGGAAGTAAAAAGTTTTGGGTCATTTTTTTTTTACAATAAATATGGAAATTGTTCTTTGTATTCGCACATGACTGACTGCCGTGTATGTGTAAGAATGTGGGAGGAGTTGAGCTGATTTTTATCCCCTTTATTGACACTTGATCCGAGCCCTTCTTTCAGGCTGTCATCACGTGACGTCTGACCCCTGGCTGCCGAGGGTCGCCATTTTGCGTCTCCCGTCCAGACCCGGCTGCACAGGTGTCCTACAGGTGAGGCGGGCGAGCAGGTGCGTTTCACTTGTACTTTCATCCGCCACTTTCCATACCGCACCGTCCGGTCGTGAGGGCTTAATACGGGCTGTGTGTGTGAGATAGAGCCAGCGGTAGTTTGTTGTGAGGTGTGTTGTACAGCGATAACGCTAGCTGTGTGTTGTGTGTGTTGAGGAGAGACATGTATGTATGAACACGCGGCGGGCAGGCTGCCAGTTCCAAAACTTCTCGCGCGGTTTCCGCAAAATTTACCGCCCGACGTCCGGCCGGTTCTCTGTCGTCTGCGGGGCAGGAAATCTGGTCAGAAAATCTCCCGGATGCCGGCAGCCTGACGAGAGCAGAAAAATCCGACCCCTCCACAGGTCTCGAGTGTCGGAATTTTAAGTGTCATCTAGTTTCTAGGAAGTGTGTGGGGGCCTTTATGCAAATGACGGTGTTAAGTGAACTAAGTGGCCGATACGCGGCGCCCTAGTTTTTTTCCCGTCCCACCATTACACAAGGGAGTGAGAGTTGCCGCTGTAATTAAGCGGTGGTCGAGTCGAGCGAGTTTTTCCACAAAGAGAGATTCAGATTTACACGTCTGGGCAGGACAAGGAGGTAAGGTCTTAATCTTTTCCGTCCGATTTCCCGCACCGTAGCAGTATGTATGGTAGTGACTGGATGTTAACCGGCGAGTAGAATTTTTTCTAGGTAGCGCCTAGGTCTCGTCACGCTGCGTTTCTCTTAAAGAAAAGGCTGACAGTCTAAACCGAGCACACACAGGTGAGCGGCGCTGGGGAAAGTGGCGTGCCATTTTAATGAGCTTGTATTCTCGAAACTCCGCGGATGTGAACGTCCGCGCGGCTTCCTGGTCCCGCTTTTGTTGCGGACTCGGCTAGTCTAAACGTCTAAAACTTGTGTACTCACAGATGTATCCTGTCTTGTTTTAACAGCAGAAATGGCCGCTGCGTTGTTGTGAGAAAAGTTAGATTAAGGGGAAGCTTGTGTTTTCTTTAAACTGTGTCTCTTAAACGCGGCCAAGCAAAAAATGTTTGAACTGTTTAGAAACAGTCTCGCTCAATCGCATGACTGCCTACCCGAGAATGCTCCGTGCGTTTTGACTCTGCCAGAGAGTTTTGCAGAAAACAGACTCCGTTCTGTGAAGACAACAAACTTTGATATCACGCTCTACTTACTCCGTGGTGTACAATACGCCTTCCCGGGATCGGGACTTTCTTTCTGAGAAAATTATCTCTCGGTGATCGGTGTGCGCTATCGCAGGATACACCCGTGCGCAGTTCCACACAGTACGGGATTTGCGGATATACAAACCCCGCCAGGTTTACATTGCCTCCACCCGGCCTTTCTACAGGAATACGGATCGTAAAATTTGGCAAAAAGGAGAGTAAAATTGGCCAGGAGAGTCCGGCCGCGGGAGGTAGTTTCTTTCCCTACGAACTGCGCGGCCAGTCAAACCCCAAGGCAGCCAATTGCAAACTCCCCTGGCAAATATTCTTCTATATATATAGCCAACGTAGTTAGTAGTAGTCTGGTAGAGGATAATTATAAGGTTTACAGGGCCCGATCACATTTGTCAAACCGCCGTCGTAAGATCGCAAACTCTTGGAGGCATTCCTATGACAGTTGTGAATCTGTCGTACAAAATACAGCGGTTTTGTTAAGGAAAAAGTCGGCGGTTGGTTCTAGATCTTTCACAGCCTGCATTGCTTGAAAATTCTACATCACTTCGTACCATGTAACGTTATGTGTAAAATATGAGTATAGATTTACTGGGCCTAGGACTTTAAATGATGTAAACTGTATCAGTGTATGGTATATATCAGTGTATATTTTGTCTGACCCTTACCTCTCCCTAATGACCTTAATTAATGAAAAGCGACCTACAGGCCGTTTTACGAGTAAAGAACGATTCAAACAAACACTGAACAAGCAAACAAACAAACAGCGGACAAACAAAATCTTACGACGTATATGTATCACAATGAATGTGGCCACATCAGTATAAGAATGATGAGTGAATTTGTCATACTGGCCTATGTCACACTGCCCTACTACGAGTACCCTCTGACATTCCTGCTTTACGCTTAATTTCACCCAATGGCATGACATTTGTCATTCTTACAGTTAACATAGCCAGTCAAAAGCAATAATCACATTTCTATAACCCTATATAATGTTATGATGACATTATGTTATAGTAAACTCGAAGGAAATACCTTCTAGATTTAAACAGACTTAAAAAGACATGTTGGTATGATTTTGTGTGACAGCTACATTAAGATTAATTATCTCTTGCTATTGTACATCGCTGAAATACCAAAGAGTGCCTCCATTGTGCTCTGTTTGACACGTGAACTTTCACATTCACACTTCAAAACACGCCTCGTTACTGTGGTAATTATTGGGCGGTACTATCTAACTGTAAAAATGGCCATCTGTCATTAGACAAACCACCTTAGGGCTTATCGCGCTTCACGTATGTCGTGAGTTAATTTTGAAAGCAACTGTTTTTGTAGATATCTTTTTGTATATTTTGTGTCGTTTGGAGGCAAGAAGGGCCTTACATTGTTACATGGGAGAAATATAGAGACGATCTAAAAACAAACAGTGTACAAGAATTCAGTAGAGTAAGTTAATTCTTCAGACAATTACAACTGTAACTCGTTCACAGTTCTGTGTTTAATAGTAGTAAATGACTAGAAATGAGCGTTTGGAAGTAGCGTAATAGTTTTAATATGTAAATCTATTGAAAACGGTGAAGGTCGACTAGTTTGTGATCGTTAAAATTGTGCACAGACAGATACACTTCTTAGGGTAGTCTCAAATTTATTTTGCTATCCGTACAGATCCAATTCCGCACTAGAATTCTTCTCGTGTGTCTGTATAAATGTTAAATAACCTGTTAACAAGACGAAGTCAAACCATGAAATTCATTGGCTTCTGTACACGAACCGCGTTTTCTGCTGGGTCAAACTTATACTAGTAGTCGAAGCAATCACGTTGTTAGATCACATAGAACCTTTGGGAACGTCCCTTCTCTTCCCACAAAATATGTTAGTATCATAATTGTCCGTCTGAAGCCCGGGGCTCTAGGCCGTTCCAAGAAGTTAGACAAGTTTTTGCAGACAGACAACGTCGACGGTATATCTATATGCAGAAACCGTGCCAATGTGTTAGTGGTACGAGTGGGAAAGGTGAGATTTTTTCTTGTCTTTCTGTCTAAAACGTGTTTGTTTGAGTGTATAGAATTTGCCGTTATTTCCTGTGTAGGTCTTGGAAAGAGAGGATGTACTTATCTTGACTTCATACCTCAGGTATTTTAATGTTTTAAGCATAAAGCAGGTCGTTCATGAGAGGCGACGATACAAAATTTCGTAAGAGGGGGAGGGGGCGATATTCATAACCGAGTTCGCACCCTCGCGAGCAGAACCAACCTAGGGGGTCTCCACCAGACTTCTTTTGCAGGCTGAATAAATCGTAGGAATCGGCCTAAAAAGGGTGCCTGCAGGCCAATTTGATCGTCGATGACCGGCTACCTTCTCTCACCAATTAATAACCTTTTTAGGCCGATTTCTACGATTTATTCAGCCTGCAAAAGAAGTCTAGTGGAGACAAAACCTAGAGGGTCCAGGGGCATGCTCCGCTGGAAAGTTTTTATATCTTATCTCAATCCTCTGAAACGTCATTTCCTACATTTTTGCAGGGCAAATTTTGCCGGTACACCAATTTAAGTCAGACGTATCATATGATAATGCAGTTTGTCTACAAGCTTATTTATACCACCACCATTTTTTCAGTTTGATTTTGGAGGGGGGGGATTTTTGTTGGGGCGACCACTGTTGTTACATAGTGAGAAAGCTAGCTCGGCATGTCTTATTTGAAGTCCCGACTTGTAGTTTCATGAGTATCTTCATGAACTCAAGTGCGTGAATCTTTGGGATCATACATTCAGATGCCGTCTCTTTAATAGACAAAATTTGTACAATACTGCGATTTGAAAACAAAAAAATTGCCCCCCTTCCTCTCTTATATTAATGCCAGTCACGTAATTATAATGTGACGCGGGCTAGACCCGGTGAAATGTGAAATTCCCTTTGTGTCATAATTGGTCCTTAACAACTATTGTAACACGGGAAGAATTGTGAAGCAAGTTTAGTCCAAACTTGTGGAACGGAGTAAGGTTTCACCGTCGCCATTATTAACTCCACACGTGAACCTGTGAGGCTTTTGTGCATCAGCAAGTGTTTCTTCTATACAATATCGGGCGGTACTCTAAAAGTAAAACACACTTTTGTTGAATGGGGGCTAACAATGGCAGAGGTGGTGGGGGAGAGTTGAGTAGAGAACAATACACTCGGCGACACTTAACGAGATTTGAACCAAATTGAAGTGGTGTACTTCCAGTATTTTAGGAAACTTGAACGCTGCATTGTGTAGGATGTTCGCTATAATTCTCCAGGACGTGTGTACGGTGTTAAAGGCATCTAATGAAATTTCAGGGAGGCAAAAGAAAAAAATATTCTGGATGAGGAAATCTGTCTTGTATTGACATTTACTGCCATTTCTTAGGACATTTTTGTCAGCACCATTGTCAGTAACATTGCATCTTTGCCCAACTACTGTGGGATAGGTTTGATTCGACATGTCACGTAAAATGATCACCAGAAAATTTACTCTGAATATCCAGTGTTGCCACCCTGCAAGTGCATTGCATTGGATGCCTTTAAATACAATGAGGCAGAGTCGCTACTATATGTACCCTACTATATGTACCCTAGTACACTAACTCGGTAAATTGAAAACTTCGGTAGAAGAAATTGGCCCGATGTATACTGACGACGGTATACATGTACCGCCATGCGAATGTACAGTGAGGTCGCATTGTGTAGAATGTTCTCGCTAATTCTCCAGGATACTGGTTGACGTGTAGTATTTGAGAGTTTTCGTGAATTTATTGGCCCTTTAAGTGTCCCTATTCATATGACGGTCAGTCCCGACATTTCTGATGGCTCTACCGATCGACGTCAAGTCTTTATGGTTCTCGGTGCTTTGTGTCTATTCTCGTTCCCAGGCTAGGCGTGCGTCAGTCGGCCCTATGCGCAAACGTCAGTAATCCTGTACCTCGCTAAACCACAGATACCGTAACCCACACTACCCCTGACCTACATCAACCTTGGAAACGGAGCACAAATGTCTACAAGTATGGCCTGGAGTCCAGCCTTGTTCGCTTTTTTTGTGACGATCAGTGCCGGGCTTTCTACCGACGTCAAGCCTCTGTCTTTGCTTTATGCTCTCGTAACCTACACTACCCCTGACCTACATCAACCTTGGAAACGGAGCCCGAAGGTCTACAAGTATAGCCCGGAGTCCAGCCTTGTTAGATTTTTTTGTGACGAGCTTTCTGAATGTTCTACCGACGTCAAGCCTCTGCCTTTGCTTTATGCAGTCGTAACCTACACTACCCCTGACCTACATCAACCTTGGAAACGGAGCCCGAAGGTCTACCAGTAGCCATGAGCCGGCGACAGGACATGTTTACAAGCCCGTATACTTATAGAAACCGATCTACTAGCTATAGTCCTCCAGATGACAAATCGTTTTCTAATGACTAGTACCGAAGTCGAAGGACACAGCACTGAGTGAGCCACTATACTACTAGTATAGTCGAGGCAAGCTACTACAGTGACGGTGTTGATGGTACTTTGGACGGATGCCATCCTGTATGCGCCGGAAGGTTGAGGCCGCCGATTTCTTGTTTAATAGTATTTGATTTTGCGCAAGAAACCAAAACAAGTGACGGCAAATCTACTTGTATGAGGCTCATATCCAAGTCCCTACATCTACTTGGAGATTACGTCAAACGACGAAGGCACACACCCTTCATCTGCTTGTAAAATTGTAAAATGTATGGCAACGGTTGGCACATAATCATAACTACAATTTCACAACGCTAATAACGTACCCAATGCAAAGATGTGCGTATGGGTAAGGGAATGAGCTTTTACAATAATCGAGGAATTTCTAACGTCTAGAAATTCTATCATGGTAACCATGTAGGGGTTTTCACATATCATTATGAACTTAAATTTGCTATTCAAGTCCATTAAGAGAAATCCTGGTATAGATGGTTAGTTTACCAAGTGGTGTACGTGCTTGAGGTCATTCCAGGTTCGTTCTTATGTAAGACGAAAGGTTATTAGTTCATCCTGAAGTCACCCCACTCCCTCGGAGTTTAAACTTTGGTCCGGCCGTGTCGCGTCTTCAAAAAACAACGCCGCTATCTCTACTCTACCTGACAGAAAAAAAACTGCAAGGTAGTTAGACTACAGCAAACAAATAGCAGACACACATGTACACTCACCCACTAGCAGACATACACTCGTTATTGGTATACCTCGAGGTATTCCGAAGATTGGAGAAAGATAAAAAATATAAACGTTTTCCAGAATCACGACTTGATCCGGAAGTTAAAAACGGAACAGTCCTGTTCAAATTGCAAAGAAAGAGTATGGAGAGGCAAGGGAGCCTGAAGAGCTAAAACGTTTTGATGGTTAGATGAACATTATCACATTTTCAAAATGCTTAGAATCAAATCTCGGCATGTTATCTCTCTATTTGGCCAATTTCTACTCTTTCCAGCCGCCTCCCGAAGCCTGGTAGAGGCTGCGACCTTCCCGCCTGTTTCCCCGGCCGGTGTCAGGCAGGGGTGATCGGCCGGCAGGTGAAAGAGCACGTGCCTTTACAAGTTGGTGAATCAGGTGTTTGCTGAAGTCGGCCGCGACCCGCCGCCCCGGCCGTTTTTCACAAACACTCCGCCTGCGTGACAAAGTTCAACCACCTTGTTGTTTATGGCACAAGAAGGACGTCTGCTATTAACCGGTGTCGATCTCCAAGCAGACATTAGGTTTGTTTGGATGTTTTAGGCGTTTACCGAGCTTTCTAATTTGCCAGCTTTTCTTAGTACACTGTCAAAATACCCAAAGAAAAGCTATAAAAGTAGAAAGGCTGTCAATATACCCATAGAAAAGCTGATAAAATAGAAAGCCAGACGAAACGTTTAAAAGCGTCCAAAGCAAGCCTAACCTCTGCTTGTAGTATGCTGTTCCACAAGAAGTGTATGAATTACTCGTTTTTAGAATGTCTTGATCCAATATCTTAATGCTTCCTACCCAGACAGAATACAGGGTCTCATAGAATGATAAACAAACTTTGGTGACTTGACACTTTTTTGAGAGGTCAGAAACAATTGGTTTTCCTAAAACGTCCTTGGTTTTAACAAAAAGTTCTCGCACATTTATTTGTTTGTCATATTTTCTAGTGCCATGAGATAGGTGTTGTTTGACGTATATAAAGACAACCTCAGGCTTGTACCAGGTCGCAATGCTATATATGCATAGGTCTAGGTCTCTCTGTGAAGATCTAGAATCTGCACAAGAAATAGAATCTGTACAAGAAACTTAGAGTATACGAGATCAAACATACGTCTTGTGCAGGTGTATGTTTCACGTGGTCTATGGTCTCTCTATTCTAATACGCTGTTTTATAACCTTAATCTAATAGAGACAGGAATCGTGTCACCACTATCAGCCTCTAGTTCAACAGGCACGTGCATTTCTCGCACTCTGGACAGTTATTAAAAGTTTGTGTAATGGTTGAACAGGAGAGAACTCATAACAAAGTTCATCTGAGTACAATGAACTCATGAACGTTTTTAAAAAAACATATCGTTTTGTCAAGTTGAGTTCTACCAGTTTTCTCACATGGATATCTATATATATATAGACATAGTTTTAGATACAAACATAGTTTCAGATATAGACATAGTGTTAGATATAGCTATAGGTTTCGACAATTACCTTGTTTTTTATGATGTAGATTTTGAAGTTGTTTTGTATTCCAACTATTTCAGTGGGCTTTTATCTTTGTTATTTGCAATTATTAGCCTTCGGGCAAGAATTTGCAAAAAAACTTATCATTATGTAAATACGTCTGGCTATTATTTACTATTTACACAAATTGGTCGGCGCAGGTAAGGCTAGGTGATCTCACACACTGAACTTTGACTGACCCCAAGTTCCGTACCCTTCGCCCAGGTTAGGAGTAGCCTCCTTCGCAGACTTGTGGGGCGCCGGCGTTAAATTTATTTTCGGGAAGCGACGCGAGTTATGCCGCGGAGGGACGGTTTTGCCACCGA